ATCATACAGTCACACTAATTTTTATTCGTACAGTACAAGATAGCGTTTTCGTACAGTACAGTTTATATGTATACTCTGTAATAAATACTATTTTTGGATCCCACCACGTAGGATCTAATTTTAATTATGCACGTGAATATCGCAAGAAATCTATTTGACGCGACATTGTGAATTTGACGCGACAATTTTTTACCCCTTAAACTCAAATTTTATTTTCAGAACCATATTATAAATGGCTTTAAATTGGACACCAAGGCTTCCGTACTTCAAGAATAACGACGCGTGGAACTTAATAGATTTTTTGCATTGGAGTATAGTGAATATAAGCGATTTCCGAAATAAGGAGATGGAACACAGAACATATAAAATCTGTTTGGAAGAGATTGTCAAAAGTCCGGAGATATTAGAAACTCGTAACAATGAATCCTCCAAAAATTTGGCGTCACGATGTTTGGAATCACTCGAGGTTAAATTTTTATTTTACATTTTGCTGTATTTCATATGTTTCGGGTCCATGGCATAGACTAGGTTACGTCCGAATATTTCTTAGTCAAGTCTAAGAAAGTGCCTTGCTGTGGCCCGTTGCTAATTGCTCAAAGTGCTAGGTCAAGTCCAATCCCCGCTCGTCAAGTCGAAAGTCCCAGGGTCAAGTCCTATTTTGGGTTTGCGGGGTGGCACTTTAACTTTAAGTTGCGTCTAAAAGTTTTAAGTAACAATTTTTCTCTTTATACATATTTAGCAAGAAAAGAAATTACCTGAAGTACGGACCTTCTGGAGAAGCAAAGCTAGTGTTATGAAAACGTTAAAAAGAGCATCAAACTTGAATTCTAATAATATAATCAATCAAATGGTGGACTTACACCGCGATTTCAGTAAAGCGCTATCCAATACTACTCGACAAAATATTGAACCAGGTAACATTCTAAACTCATTTACATTAAATACTGAATATGAATTCTAATTATGCGAAATAATAGCTCTAAGACAGGAAAGAACGAAGAACGAAGCCGAATTTGATTCTGATTCGAGTAATACAATATCGGATGATGGTAATGAAGAAAACCTCGAAGAACCCGATATGGAAGAGGTACTTACTTAGAATACATGTGGTTATATCAACATTTTTATACTTTTCCAAGTTTGCGTATTGCAAGTTAAATTTCAAACCGTACAAATTTATTTTAGGAGGTGACTTTATCTCGTAAACGAAAAAATGTGGGTTCCAGTGAAGAGCGAATATTTAGTTCAGATAATCAAGAACAATCTTCAGAATTTCAATTAGAAGTGGATTTATTAGATATTATACAAGGTCCGAAAATTGAGGTAAGTTTGGTTTACCATATATCAACACGTTTTTTTATTGCATACCGGGACTAAGGATGACTTTGATCAGGTGTTGAAAGAATTGGAAACAAAATCGCGCTTAGAGAAATACAATATTTTTTGTCTTTTTGATGTTGAATTTCATTACACAAAACAAATTATCAACGGATCAAATGAACGTGATAAAAAATAAATGGACAATGGTTGGTTTATTTTTAATTGTTATATAGGATTATAGATATGAACCCTGGGTTAACAAATTTATTTTTTTAATAACAATAAGGCCGAAGAGTCTATTAATAAAAATGAGATTGAAGAATGCTGGAATGCATGTTTGCTAAAAAAATTAGTTGGTAATTATCACGAAGTCATCAAAGGGAATATAAATGAAGATACATTTTCTACAGACTTCAATTCACTTATGACCGGTTTTACAAAACAACAATTTGATAGATACGATCATCAAAAAAATTATGAATTGTTTTGGTGTCAGGACTTTTATACGCGGTTGTATGTATTGTGATGAGTTTCTTCTGTTATTATGACTGCAAAATAAATAACTGATTCTTTTATATTTCAGAACTCTCCAATTATTGCGAAAACATAGTGCTTTGTTAGACAACAGTACAAGTGAATATCAATATCGAGACGAAATAATAAATCCTCTTCTAGCTTCAATCTTTTTTGATGTCGAAAATGCATTGTGGTTTAAAACGTAAGTGAACCTCCTGAAAGTTATTCCTAAAATTATGGATCTAATCTATTATTAATAATAAACTAGTGGGGAAATTGAAAATGTGACACGGAAACGACAACGCAATTTTTCAAAACAAGAAAATGAACGTGAAAGACTTGGTGATAAACATGACGGTATTTTATATATGAACGTACAAGGTGCACCAGTCGAAATCGGGTTTTTAGAAGTAGTCGGCAATGCGTTTACCAAGATAATATCCGACAAAAATGATGATCTTGAGAAACTACTAAAAGGTGTGCCTGTAATTTACATCCATTCTGCATTACATAATAATTAGCTAATTTCTGCATTATATCATTACATAATAACTAGCTAATTCTATTTAATTTTTTTATTATTGTAGCCATGATGATATCTCTTTGGTATCAACATGCACATCAATCAGAAGAGAGTATCCCGGAAAACATGAAGTTGCAATCATATGCAATTTTAGTATTCGGTTAGTGTTTTTGAAAGTGCTGGTTTTTTAAATCAAATTGATTAATTAACAAGATCATTTCCAATAGGGCGAGAATTTCATTTTTTAAGCATGCACTTCATAGATAACATGTATATTGTTGATGAATTTGATGCATTCGTCATACCAGTTTCGGGTGTAGATTTTTCACAAATCGAAAATATCGTTGAAATAGTGAAGAAATTTAAAGTAAGTTCTATTATTATCTTAGTTCGTATTTGTGACTTTTATTCCACAATAATCATAACATTTTTGTGTAGATACGACTGATAAAGTATTATTGGCAACTTATCCAAAAGACACGTAAAGTCACTCGGCTTCCAAAGCCGGGATTACCAAAGGCTTCTCCTTCCAAGTCTAAGCAAAAAAATAAAACAAATGAAAATATTGATTAATTCACTTTAATCAAATAGTTATGGACTTTAAATATAAAATTTAATATAAATAAAATACTGTTTAGAAAAATTTTGACTAAGCAGATAATGCATTTTACATCGCACATGTACATCTGATTTCTTATTTTCACTCCACCTTTATAGTTATATGTAAAATTGATCCTTCCCTATTTTATACTGCTGAAAAAGTTGTCAATCTTTATGAATAGATCCGTGACACAAAATTATCAAATATAACATCAAAAAAAATTGATACATTATAACCGGAATTCTTTATTAATATATATGATAAAATCTATCTAATTAGGAATTAGGAGGAGCTGGCCACTAATTAAAAATTCCTTATGTGATAGTGAAGCTAGTATCAAGACATATACAGATATGCCTGATAAAGAAACTCAAACCCAAGATACCGTCCCGACCTGTAATCAGGCACATAAGTACCCCTGCTTTGCGTGTGAGGAAGAAATCAATTGTCACGTTAAAAAAGAGTTAGATAGTTTATTCCGACAATTACTAGAATACAATGAAAAAACATTTGGCTCTTTTATGCAAGAAATCACTAAACAGCTTGAGGAGCGAATTAATGCTAATAATAAATTGCGCAGTGAAATCGATCAACAAAAAATAAAGTAGAAAAATTACTTGTGAGTCTGAAGCCCCAATAATAAGTATCCCAACTCAGTCTAACTACTAGAGGATCATCTACAGCTTTAGTAAAATTGGAGACTACAAAATTTCGATCCCATAAATGTTTATCAATAATCTTAGATGCTTTTTTTTCTGTATATAAATAACTCCCAAAATCAAATAGATCCATTAATAAGTATAGTCATAATCTCTCGATGCTTGTAGTATATCATGACATCTTCCACAAACAATCCAAGGATATTCAAGGTTTAAAGATGCCAATTGATTATAGTTCTTTTTCCCATGAGCAGTGATCCAATAATTTGAGTATTTTTTCATCAAATCTCCTATACTTACATTCTCATTCTTTGCTACATAGACTTTATGAATACCATTTACTATAACTTTTATCACATTCTTATCATACGTATTCGAAGGCTCCAGTTCAAGAGTGATGGTATCTGATTTCTTAAATTTATGGCCACTGTGAAATCTCATCCCTACCACTATAAAGGAATGCGTAACAATGCAATCTATATACAATGATGATGATATTTCCTTATATCTACAACAAATATTGTCAGAGGCAGTTACTTTGTGACTAGACATGATTAAAAACTATTATATTTTCTGTATACAAATAATATCCAAGTTCAAATAGATAATATCTGTTATCCGATCCATGTATCTCTCAACTGCTCACTTTTTTTACCTATACCCTATGTACGTCTCAATATAACAAACCGCATAATCACAATAATTAACAAGGTAAGAAAGATATATGCCGATAGTGATGACACCAAACTACTTGTCACAATGGGAATTGTACCACCTCTCCTATTGGAATCTGGAAATTTGATTCAACCAAAGAGTAAGTATTATTTTCCCGTTGTGCAAGATATGGAGTCACACTCTTGGATATACTTAATAGCACATCAGAACTTATATGTATATCATTTAGGGATATATCAGTCTTTGGCGTGAGCCAGCCTTCGGCTGAAAACTCGGGTGTAGAACTAACCGCTTCTTTAGATGCGATGGTATTCTTACTCTGTGTGTCAGTATAAACTGGTACAATATTATCGATTTTTTCACTCTCATCTATATTTTTTCTGCGTACTATAAACGGCCTAAAATCTTTAATAGGTTCACTAATTACAGAGATATTAGATGTGAAAGCATTCTCACTCTGTGAGTTAGACATGATTACATTTTTTTCGTCAGTTTCACCAATTATTGCAGAGCAAGTCGTTAGGCGATTCTTCGAATCATAACCCAAAGGATTTACATATCGGGATATATCTTCTGATTTCAGGTGATCGAGTTCGCTTCTCACACGTTCCAATTCAACTTCTATTTGTTTAAACTCACACATTTTAGATTTAAGAGATAGATTCTCAGTTTCCGTTTTTGATAAGTTTTCCTGAATCGAGAATGCATCCTTCTGAGCTAATGCTAATTTACTATTTAATATCTTGATCATTGACTGGAGTGATTTTATTTTTTTCAAATGAATGATATCCTTAGTTTCATATTCAGCATTGAAAATCTGTAATTGGTTATTTTGAAATATTAAAGTATCTATCTCTGAACTCAATCACTTAATCTCATCTATGAGTTGATAGGCATACTTGATAAGTTCTTCTTTATCTTTACTGGTTTGATTTAGATCACGTTGCAAATGTGCTTTATCCTGTTTGCTATTTTTAATAAACTTTTTATGTATCTTCTGATAGTTTTTAAAATCATCAATAAATTCAGAATTGGACTTACAACTATCACGTAAAGCTTCTTCAAGCTCCATCTCCCTAGTACTTCCAAGATGATATCCTTTTGAGTTAATATTTCGCAATATGTGTACGTTAGCCATATATGTATAACAAAAATATAATAAAATTCATAATAATTATGTATAAATAATCTAAAATTAATATATCCAATGAAATACCTATTTTGGAGAAATAATACTCTCTGCCTGTATCAATTTTACTATTGTATCAACACATGTATCAATAAGAATCAATAGGTATCAATATATATTAATTATCAGATATCAATAGGTATCAATAGGTATTAATTATCAGATATCAATAGGTATCAATAGGTATTAATAAGTATCAATACAATATCAATAGGTATCAATAGGTATCAATAGATATCAATAAAATATCAATACTCATAAAAGCATCAATACGTATCAATACATTTTGAAAAATTATTGAAACTTTTTTCTAATACATATATGTATATTTATCTTAAGATGCTTACTCATATTCATCAAAAATTTTATCGATCTAATGCGACTCATTTATCCGAATCTGATATTATAGAAATTAGAGAATCAAGAAGAAAGATACCAAACTATACTTGCACGCAAAATTATTTTGGAGCCCCGAAATTGTAATTTTGGGAAAATAAGTCGAAATAGTTTTTCATAAAAGACAAAATTATTTTACTTAAAACCTGAAATTTTTTGATCACCCAGATTTATTCTTTAATTAAAGATACATATAACTAGGTACTTTTTTTACTTCCATATATAGAATAGATTTTGCATAAATCTCAAAAAGTCGAAATACCTCAAAAATCTAAAATCAATTTTGAGAACATGTATAGTTAAGATATTTCTAATATAGAAAGAAAGGCCTCTTTTTTAGTTATAAAATGATATATTTTTAATTCGAGTAGATTTGGTATTCACGGAATTATTATAGTTTAAATAAAAACATCTGTGAAAAAATTATACAAAAATCTTCAGAAATGATTTTTTCACAAATACTTTTTCTTTAAATGAGAATAACTTTGCGAATATTCATGCTATCGGAATAAAATATATATTCTTTTGTAGCTAAGAACATGGTCTTTCATTCTATCTTAGAAATACTTTAGTAAAAATTGTTCTACACTTCACAAATCACGAACAAAGTCATTAAAATATAAAAAAAAACAGATGTTAACTTTCAAAGGTTAATATTTGTAATGAAATTATTTTGAAGGTTAATGCCTAAAAAAATTTTCTGATGAAATTTTCACAGATGTTTTTTTTAAAACTAGAATAACTCCGCAAATATCAATGCTACTGTAATGAAATACATATCATTTTGTAACTAAAAATATGATCTTTCTTTCTATCTTAAAAATATCTTAATAAAAAATCTCTCTATGTTCTGAAAATTACAAGTAAAGTCAAAAAAATGTGAAAATTTTTATGTTTATTCAAATTTACTCATGATTTGTGAAGCATAGAGTAATTTTTTACTAAAATTTTTCTAAGATAGAAAGAAAGGTATTGTTCTTAGCTACAAAATAATATGTATTTTATTTCAATAACATCAATATTCGTAAAGTTATTCTAGTTTAAAAAAAATATCCTTGAAAAAATTATACAAATTTTTTAAGTATGTTTTAAATATATCTGAAAAATATTGATTTTTAAAATATCTAAGTTGATATGCTTAAAATATACTTAAGTATATTTTAAATATGTTTTAAGTATATCTAAAAATATTAGTTTTTAAAATATTAAGTTAATATATTAAAATATACTAAGTGTATTTAAAATATTCTTAGAAAAAATTTTAAGTATATTTTAAATATATTTAAATATATTTTAAGTATATAATTTTAAATATAAAATAAAATTTTAAATATATTTTAGAAATATTTTAAGAATATCAATATATAATTCGAAAATATAATTTTCTTAAATTTTCAAATAGTAAAAAGATTTTAAGTACATTTTAAGTATATTAGATATATTTTAAATATGTTTTAAGTATATTTTAAGTATGTATACTTCTTATAAGTAAAAAATATTATTTAACGTTAAATACTATAAAAAAATAATAAAAAAATATAATAAATATTTATTAAATGACTATTTTTATAGTGTAAAATGAACATTTTATACTTTTAATGTTATTAAATACCATTTTAAAATGTTATAAAAAATTCTACTATTATAACTAATGATATACGAGTGCCAATATATAACGTTATTAATATGAGACGTTTGTTATATGTTATAAAATGGTAATATATAATGTTATATAAATGCTATTCATAAAATGTAATATAAATGGAGCGTTCGTATAGTATTTTAGAATGTTACATTCTAATATGTTGGTATTGTTCTAGAACACTATTCGAACGTTATGTTCGTATAACATTGTAGAACGTTATATAAAAATTCCTGATGTATTGTAATTGTTCCATTGTGTTTTTTAAAATTATGCTAGTGGCTGCTTCACTATCAATAGTAGCTGATACTCTAAATCCATTCACTATTACTTCACATTTCAGAATAGTTGTTTTTGTATTATTACTTTGTCTTACTAATTTTACAATGGTTTCTTTTGGTGTCCTTAATGCTTCTTTCAATTTCTTCCTTTTTTGAGAACTAATTTTTAATAACTGTAGTAATGTAATTTCTAATTTTTGTTGTTGCAGTTTTTTTATTAGGTTGAATTCAGATCCTTTTAATAATTTTAGTTGTTTCCTTTCTTTAAATAGTTTTTCAGAAGATTTTATTATTTTTCTTTTATTTTTATTTGGTATCCATTCTATTGGTTTTGGTCTAAAGTTTTTATTCTTTTTTCTTTTTGGATCAGTTCTATAATCATAAATTAATTCTGGTTCTTTTCTTTTTAAATTTTCAAAACTATCAAATCTTTTATTCAATAGT